TATAAAAAATTAGGAATTAGGTAGACCTAAACATTTTTGCTAAAACTCACTTACGTTATCATTCGAGAGAAAAAAAAAGTAAAAAGTATTGTCAAGTCTCTGAGATTTGAAGTAACATTACGAGAACTGAAATTTTGTTTTATTTTTCTATAATTTTCAAATTCCATTTGTACTATTTTTCATTTTTTTTTCGTATTTTTTTGAGTCCATTTGTTTCAAATTTTATCCATTTTTTTAGAATTTGACACCGATGTTCTTATGCGGGCCTTAGGAGTGCCAATATGTATCCGCAAGTGTGTTGATCCTTTAATGATGCAAGTAGCCAGTATTTGGGATTTACGTAACATCGTCCAAAAAGCGAAACCTTTGTGCCAGTGAGTACTTTTTTCAATCAAAAAATTTTTCCCGTTTTTTCAAAATCTCAAAAATTTCCCGTTTCAGGGGTCACTCGATGGCTATGCAATGTTTACAAAGAAATCCTTCTTGTGACGTTCATCAAATTTTCAAGACAGCTGCCAGTGCCATCGAAAAAATGTGCGGAGAGCGAGCCCCACTTTTCGAGAAAATGCGTCCATGTTTGGAAAAACACGCCGATGGCGCAGTACAGAGTATGTTCGCTTTCGCTTGGTTAATCGATAGGCGTACTTTGCACAAGAGTAAACTTTTTGCAGCATGCGATGCCAAATGCAAAGGTCGTTCCACTGTTAATGCATTTTTGAACCACCCGGTTGTTGTTAGGGCAGCAAAGAGCGGTGGAGATCTCATAGGGGTTGCAGGTCAGGTTGGAAGTCTGTGCAGGTTGGTTATTTTTTGAAAACTGTAATTTCAAAAAGGTCTATCGAATACAATAAAAGTGGAAAAATATATTTTCAAAAAAGTATATCGAATACAATGAGAAGTGTAGCAAAATAAGATGTGCAAAACTCTTAAAAATCTTATACATCTTCCGCTTTTATTGTTAGAAATACGGTAAGTCAAGTGGAATATTGATTACTTGTCTCAGAGTGGGAGGCGCGGCGTGTCGCGTCGCGGTTTCACGTGAATCGCATTTTGCGCGTTTATATACAGAGGAAATTGACAAGTACGTTAAAAGGCAGTAAATAATTTGTTTGAGACACTTTCGAATGATTAAGTGCTGTAATTTCCTCAATAAATGCAAGAGAAGTG